CTGTGGCGAGATTCTGGCAACACTAGGCTGGTAACTGTGGCGAGATTCTGGCAACACTAGGCTGGTAACTGTGGCGAGATTCTGGCAACACTAGGCTGGTAACTGTGGCGAGATTCTGGCAACACTAGGCTGGTAACTGTGGCGAGATTCTGGCAACACTAGGCTGGTAACTGTGGCGAGATTCTGGCAACACTAGGCTGGTAACTGTGGCGAGATTCTGGCAACACTAGGCTGGTAACTGTGGCGAGATTCTGGCAACACTAGGCTGGTAACTGTGGCGAGATTCTGGCAACACTAGGCTGGTAACTGTGGCGAGATTCTGGCAACACTAGGCTGGTAACTGTGGCGAGATTCTGGCAACACTAGGCTGGTAACTGTGGCGAGATTCTGGCAACACTTGGCTGGTAACTGTGGCGAGATTCTGGCAACACTTGGCTGGTAACTGTGGCGAGATTCTGGCAAACACTAGGCTGGTAACTGTGGCGAGATTCTGGCAACACTTGGCTGGTAACTGTGGCGAGATTCTGGCAACACTTGGCTGGTAACTGTGGCGAGATTCTGGCAACACTTGGCTGGTAACTGTGGCGAGATTCTGGCAACACTTGGCTGGTAACTGTGGCGAGATTCTGGCAACACTTGGCATGTACAAGTGACACAACACCAGAGTTGTACAGACAATTTCCAACTGTTTGTAATGGTTCCTATAATATTCAATATTCTCTGCTGCTTGGCTTCTCGTATTCAGGAAAATTGGCAAATCTGCCAATTTTATGTGAAGATTTTTTTATTCGTATTAAATCAAGTTATATACATTTCAATTCGCGTCGGTATAATAAATTAATTTATAATGCTTGGTATCTTTGGAACTCGTGTGATATATAGAGAATACCTCTTCAGATCGTCTTCAAACTTTCAACCCTCGTGTGTTTTCCAAAGACACTTGATGCAGCCCATAAAAGACGCCTTAGACTGTTGATACAAATTTCTTAAGACGTAGATATTTTGGGTTAATGTCCTGATTAAGAAGCCGTGGGTTGTGCAAGTCACTATGTAAGTGTTTGAACCTGTGAAATAACATAAATTCTTTCTCTATCAACTGATTAATTTAATACATACAAATTATATAATCCAACACATAATACATTCTATTTCTAAAACTCAACATGAATCTTAATCTGTATAGATGTCATGGAAAATTAAAGAATATTTTAATATACCGGTTATCGAGAGCCGCCTGAAGCTTGGTAAACACATCTCTGTAGATTAATTACTTATCACTGCTTAAGGGTGAGTTATATTACACAAGTTGTCTTGGAATAAGATATATTGCCACGTTAATAAGTATGAGTTTTTTATTATAAATCCCTGAGTAAATTTCACTGTTATCTTGCCACATGTACAGTGATAATAACATTCCTCTTATGTTTAGTGTATAAAATGTCTAACAGGGAAGTTTTCAACGTATTTCATTTGGTGGACGATGCAAGAGAGATATTCTGTATCGTATAACCGCAGTCCCCTAATTAAGCAAGATAAAACAGCAGAACACCTACTAAAAGATTATCAAGGTGAATAGGAATGAAATAGGACCTATTATATACCAAATAATAATATATATATTTTTCGTTAGGTTCGGAATGAATTTTGCGAAATTTTTGCATACACAAATTTTCGCTTGCCTTGTTTGGCAAGAGCGTTGCTATTTAGGCCAAAATCGCAAGTTTTACCTGTTCGGCACGACATATCCACCTCCCTTAACTATTCCCCTCCCTCGCTACCCCTTCCATCCATCCACCCGCTCCCATCCTCTCCAGCAAAGCTGGCTAACGCAGCGTTGTTATTGCTATATATATATATATATATATATATATATATATATATATATATATATATATATATATATATATATATATATATATATATATATATATATATATATATATAAGACAGAATGTAGAATTGCGGATGAGCAGGGAGGCTTCAGAGTGGGTAGGGGATGTGTAGATCAAGTGTTTACATTGAAGCATATATGTGAACAGTATTTAGATAAAGGTAGGGAAGTTTTTATTGCATTTATGGATTTAGAAAAGGCATATGATAGAGTGGATAGGGGAGCAATGTGGCAGATGTTGCAAGTGTATGGAATAGGTGGTAAGTTACTAAATGCTGTAAAGAGCTTTTATGAGGATAGTGAGGCTCAGGTTAGGGTGTGTAGGAGAGAGGGAGAATACTTCCCGGTAAAAGTAGGTCTTAGACAGGGATGTGTAATGTCACCATGGTTGTTTAATATATTTATAGATGGGGTTATAAAAGAAGTCAATGCTAGGGTGTTCGGGAGAGGGGTGGGATTAAATTATGGGGAATCAAATTCAAAATGGGAATTGACACAGTTACTTTTTGCTGATGACACTGTGCTTATGGGAGATTCTAAAGAAAAATTGCAAAGGTTAGTGGATGAGTTTGAGAATGTGTGTAAAGGTAGAAAGTTGAAAGTGAACATAGAAAAGAGTAAGGTGATGAGGGTATCAAATGATTTAGATAAAGAAAAATTGGATATCAAATTGGGGAGGAGGAGTATGGAAGAAGTGAATGTTTTCAGATACTTGGGAGTTGACGTGTCGGCGGATGGATTTATGAAGGATGAGGTTAATCATAGAATTGATGAGGGAAAAAAGGTGAGTGGTGCGTTGAGGTATATGTGGAGTCAAAAAACGTTATCTGTGGAGGCAAAGAAGGGAATGTATGAAAGTATAGTAGTACCAACACTCTTATATGGATGTGAAGCTTGGGTGGTAAATGCAGCAGCGAGGAGACGGTTGGAGGCAGTGGAGATGTCCTGTCTAAGGGCAATGTGTGGTGTAAATATTATGCAGAAAATTCGGAGTGTGGAAATTAGGAGAAGGTGTGGAGTTAATAAAAGCATTAGTCAGAGGGCAGAAGAGGGGTTGTTGAGGTGGTTTGGTCATTTAGAGAAAATGGATCAAAGTAGGGGAAGGAAAGAGGGGTAGGGGTCGTCCTCGAAAGGGTTGGAAAGACGGGGTAAAGGAGGTTTTGTGGGCGAGGGGCTTGGACTTCCAGCAAGCGTGCATGAGCGTGTTAGATAGGAGTGAATGGAGACGAATGATACTTGGGACCTGACGATCTGTTGGAGTGTGAGCAGGGTAATATTTAGTGAAGGGATTCAGGGAAACCGGTTATTTTCATATAGTCGGACTTGAGTCCTGGAAATGGGAAGTACAATGCCTGCACTTTAAAGGAGGGGTTTGGGATATTGGCAGTTTGGAGGGATATGTTGTGTATCTCTATACGTATATGCTTCTAAACTGTTGTATTCTGAGCACCTCTGCAAAAGCAGTGATAATGTGTGAGTGTGGTGAAAGTGTTGAATGATGATGAAAGTATTTTCTTTTTGGGGATTTTCTTTCTTTTTTGGGTCACCCTGCCTCGGTGGGAGACGACCGACTTGTTGAAAAAAATAAATAAATAAATAAATAAATATATATATATATATATTATATATATATATATATATATATATATATATATATATATATATATATATATATATATATATATATATATATATATATATATATATATATAATCTTATCCTTCGTCTATGTTGTTGCAGTGAAGCCGCTGTCTGTGAAGATCCTAGCGTCCCGCGAGGCCATATCTGCAGGGAAGGTGTACGAGGTGGTGTGTCAGAGTGCGGGAGCTCGACCCCCAGCCTCCCTCACCTGGTGGCTAGACGGTGTTCACCTCACCAACGCTACTATCTCTGTGAGTGACCAACCAGAGAGGATGTGAGATGGTGGATAGATGGAAGGGGTAGCGAGGGGAAGGGAAATATTTAAGGGAGGTGGATAAGAAGAACTAAAAGGAAAGAGCTGAATGAGTGACGGAGAACTGAGGAAAGAATTAGGAAAAGAACATGATAGAAAGATTGGATTATAAGGAAAGAAATGAGGTTGAAGTGAAGGAGAACGATTTAAAGGAGCAATGGAAAAAGATGAGAGAGAAAGAGAGAGGGAGAGAGAGAGAAGAGAAGAGAGAGAGAGAGAGAGAGAGAGAGAGAGAGAGAGAGAGAGAGGAGAGAGAGAGGAGGGGGGAGGTGACGTTTCATTGATGAATATTTATACAGTGTATTCAAAGAAAAGTTTCTTACATGTTTCATTTACACTTGAAAGTTTGTTTTCGAAACTTTGTTAGTTACTAATACTGTCTGGTCTCTCGTTAGTCTGGATTTAAACGTTTCACGAAGATTTTCAACACGACGGGAAGATTTTATTTTCATATTGTTTGTGTTCTCACCTGTATGTGATTACAGGGGTTGATTCATAGCTCTTGTGTGTGTGTGTGTGTGTGTGTGTGTGTGTGTGTGTGTGTGTGTGTGTGTGTGTGTGTGTGTGTGTGTGTGCACTACCTGTCAGCTGCTATTCACTGCTCATTTTTCCCTCTCTGATGAACGTATAATGATGGCATGCAAATCTTGCACATTTTTAATAGCATTCAGCTTAACGTTAATATTTACCTTCCACTGTGCTTCTAAATTTTATTTCTGAAATATTTCCTTTACGGTTTATGAGACCTACTCTCAGAGCGGGCTGTGGGCACCAGGATTCCCGGTACCAACAACAGGTATAACAGATATAAATCTCTCTCTCTCGGACAGACGGCGAGCAATGGCAACGTCACACTTAGTAAACTCCTGCTGGTGCCTTATGACGCGGACGGCGGCAAGTTCCTCAAGTGTTTGGCAGAGTCTCCAGCGATAAACCACCAGCCACTACACGACCTGTGGAAACTCGACGTCCAGTGTGAGGTGACACGCCTGCCTGTACCGGGGATACTGATTGTAAGATCACACTCACACATCACCAACACACACCACACACACACAACACACACACACACACACCAACACACAACCACACACACAACACACACACACACACACACACACACACACACACCACACACACACACACACACACACA